AGAGGTGTACCTGGGAGTGTCAGGTACCAGGGAGTGTCAGAGGTGTATCTGGGAGTGTCGGACGTGTACCTGGGAGGTCTGAGGTGTACCAGGAATGTCATTGAGTACCTGGGAGTGCAGACGTACCTGAGTGTGTCAGAGGTGTACCTGGGAGTGTCAGAGGTGTACCTGGGAGTGTCAGAGGTGTACCTGGGAGTGTCGGAGGTGTACCTGAGTGTCTGGGGTGTACCTGGGAGTATCGGGGAGTATCTGGGAGTGTCTGAGGTACCTGGGAGTGTCTGAGGTATACCTGGGAGTAGGAGGTACCTGGGAGTGTCAGGGGTGTACCAGGGAGGTCAGTGGAGTACATGGGAGTGTCAGAGTGTACCTGGGAGGTCTGGGGTGTACCTGGGAGTATCGGGGAGCATCTGGGAGTGTCGGAGGTGTATATGGAGTGTCGAGGTGTACCTGGCAGTGCTGCACCTGGGAGTGTCAGAGAAGTACCAGGGAGGTCACAGGAGTACCTGGGAGTGTGAGAGGTGTACCTATGAGTGTGAGAGGTGCACTGAAGTGTCTGAGGTGTACGGAGTGTGAGAATTGTACCTGGGAGTGTCTGGGGTGTACCTGGGAGTGTCTGAGGTGTAGCTGGGAGGTCAAAGGTGTAGCTGGGAGTGTCAAGGTGTACCTGGGAGTGTCAGGGTGTACCTGGAGTGTCAGGGGTGTACCAGGAGTGTCAGTGGAGTACCTGGGAGGCTGAGGTACCTGGGAGTGTCGGAGGTGTACATGGAGTGTCAGAGGTGTACCTGGCAGTGTCAGGGGTGTACCTAGGATTGTCAGTGGTGTGCCTGGGAGTGTCTGAGGTACCTGGGAGTGTCTGTGGTGTACCTGGAAGTGTCTGAGGTGTACCTGGGAGTGTCAGAGGTGTACCTGGGAATGTCAGAGGTGTACCTGGGAGTGTCGGAGGTGTACCTGGGAGTGTCTGGGGTGTACCTGGGAGTATCTGAGGTGTACCTGGGAGTGTCAGAGGTACCAGAGATTGTCGGAGGTACCTGGGAGTGTCGGAGGTGTACCTGGGAGTGTCTGGGGTACCTGGGAGTGTCTGCGGTGTGCCTGGGAGGTTCATGTGTGCCTGGGAGTGTCAGAGGTGTGCCTGGGAGTGTCTTAGGGTGTACCTGGGAGTGTTTGAGGTACCTAGGAGTGTCGAGAGTACCTGGGAGGTCAGAGAAATACCAGGGAGTGTCACAGGAGTACCTGGGAGGTGGAGAGAGGTGTACCAAGGAGTGTGCAGAGGTGTAACTGGGAGTTTCTGAGGTGTACCTGGGAGGTCAGGGGAGAACCAGGGAGTGAAAGAGGTGTACCTGGCAGTGTCTGAGGTGTACCTAGGTGTGTCAGAGGTGTACCAGGAGTGTCAGGGGTGTACCTGGAGTGTCAGAGGTGTACCTAGGAGTATCGGAAGTTTACCTGGGAGTGTCGGAGTTGTACCTAGGAGTGTCGGAGGCGGACCTGGGAGTGTCAGAGGTGTACCTGGGAGTATCAGAATGTGTACCTGGGAGTGTCAGAGGAGTACCTGGGAATGTCAGAGGTATACCAGGGAGTGTCAGTGAAGTACCTGAGAGTCTCAAAGGTGTACTTCGGAGTATCGGAGGTGTACCTGGGAATATCGGAGGTGTACCTGGGAATATCGGAGGTGTACCTGGGAGTGTCAGAGGTGTACCAGGGAGTGTCAGTGGAGTACCTGGGAGTGTCAGAGGTGTACCAGGGAGTGTCAGAGGTGTACCAGGGAGTGTCAGTGGAGTACCTGGGAGTCTCAAAGGTGTACCTGGGAGTACCAGAGGAGTACCTTGGAATATCGGAGGTGTACCTGGGAATATCGAAGGGGTCCATTCTCATGTAATTGGTGAAGTCTTGCTCATGTCCATCTTGCAGTTCACGTAAAATCGTGGCATGACTTCGCAATACTTTTCTTCGACCTAACCACTCTTTGCACCATTCCCTTTTCTGCATTTGGTTCTTCTTTTTGCACATAGCAGCAATTATTATAGTACACAACGCTATGCTCTTCGCTTTAATTGTCCGGCGATTATTCCTGCGACACACCATGGTGATCGTACCGCACCCGCCACTGCCGACCACCTACTAGCTACCGGCGCCCGACTATGACTGCCGCCACCCACCCTCGTGTGTACAACAAAACACAGGCTTTGCCCGGTAAACGGGCAAAGCCCGCCGGGCACTGCTCGATCGTGTGGACGGGGCTTTAAACAAAATCTATTTTTTGACCACAAGTGCCCCAAGGACGTCAAGGAAAAAAAAAAAAAAAACATCTTGGAAAACCATAGATGGCAAATACACTTATCAGGATTGAAAAAATGTCTCTGAAATCTTCCATGCGTCATTACAACCACTAATTACCCTGCAATTGAATTGTTGACCATTGCTTTAAATTCGGCATGCTTAGGAGTGCAACACACCCTGTAACACCACGTATAAAATGGAACACTTAATAGGGATTTACAAAATAGTTTTGGGGGTTCATAGAAAACACCATGAAATATCAAGTTTATTTTAAGTCAGGCATTTTCAAATAGTAAAATAAGCCTGGGACAGACACCCTAGAAACATCAAATGGAGTGTTACCTAGGAAATTTATAGGCCTCAGGTCAGGTCACTAATGAACAGCCATCCCATCCCGATTGTAATGATGCCTGTCGGCCTACTGTATGCCCTGGTTACAATGTTTCTGATATGCTCAATAAACTTTCTCATCTAACAAGGCTCCATCCTCCTAATCATTTCATTCACTCCAAACATAACAAATATTTCATTATATGGACCCAGTTCTACAATATTTCTAAACAATGACTGTATATAGTTGTATAAAACCCTGTAAAGGCACTGTACAGTGGAAAAAGAAAACCTCAATTGTAATAGGGCTTTGTCTTGCCTCCTTCTCTTAGTTTATTATTTGGTGCTTTGAGGTGGTTGTGTTTTAGTAGTTTTTTATCTTATTTCCACATCCGCTTTGCTATTTGTTAAATAATAGAGCTTTTTTTTAAATTTCTAAGTCAAATATAGTATTACTTTAACAATCTTTTAAGAGAGTAACCTGACACTGTTGGCTGCGCTTCGCTATCATTTTACTATTTTTCAGAAAAAAAAAGAATGATCACCTGGGAGCGTCAAGCCAAGTGGCGACAGAGCAGCACACTCATTGGCCAAGTGGCTCCCAAAGACCTGTCCTGGTCACTTATTGGTCGGCGCCAGGCTGCATTGCCTGATTTGCGGAGAATTTCCAAACATACTAATACAATGGGAAATTCACTTGTGCTAGGGGTGACCACACCATACCAGCATAGCGGAATACAACAGAGCATGAATAGATGATTTTGGACCATAGAAAAAGGATTTTGAGACCATGGCATGGTTGCCCCTATCAAGCAGAACACCTCATTCAGTCAACACTGTACACAAAATTAATAATTGTTACATTTTGCACACACAACTTCCTTAACCCTTAAACTGTAACATACCTCTGCAAATCCACTTACACCACTTATGAGAACAGCCATTTTTTTTTAATTGTACACTAATTTTAACAATCATAAAGCATGTCATGTATCCCAGTAAACCTCCTCACACTCCCTCAATAGGGCTCTTAATTGCCTTTGTTATCATGGAAGAGGTACATTCATTGATGTTAGTGGGAGTCTGGCCCCTGCCACCTCCTTCCTACCCCCAATTATTCTTCTACCTGCATATTTTTAATTTGTGAAGAAAATATATTTCTAAAAGTTTTTTGCTTTTCATGTTTGTTGCACAGGTTCTTCAATTGTTGCAGTCTAAGGGATAAACAATCCATCCAAAAAAATTTACAGAGCATAATTTCAACAGTACTGCCTAAGGTCAAGTTATTCTCTACAGATCATAATATAAAAAAAAAAATGCAAAGCTTTTGATAAACATTAACAGCTAAAATTTTCTTATACCTGTACAGTATAATCATAAACTTCTCAATACACAATCCAACAATAAATTTTCATATTTTGTTGTCTAAGATACTATATGAAAATGGACATTTCTTTAGCACCGATCTGTTGCAAACAGTCCCTCTATTGTGAACACTGTATAGAGGATCACACACATTAAATAATGAAAATCTTGATACATCAGATTATCATGACATAGCTGGAGAAGTATTGGGCTATTTCACCATAATGACCATTTTTGATGCTTCTAAGCTTCTGAAAATTGACAATCCATAAGGAGAATTATTCTGGCAGATATATATAATATATATATTATAACCAGTAACTTAATCAATTCATAATCACATCTGGGATTCAAGCACACACACACACGACTCCACAAGGTAAAACTAAGCTATCTTCACCACATTCCTAATAAATGGGATTGTTTTATTACTAAGCTCTGTAACATATACTTTGTTCAACTTAACTATTGAGCAAGAATGACATCTAACAACTAAAATGGTTACCAATGCATTACTGGCTTACAGTTCCAACTCACTACCTAAAAAAAAAAAAAAAAAAAATATACAAATCTTTCTTTTTCACTTCTAACACCCTAGCCAGTAAAGACAGAGAAAATCATATCAATGATTTCCTAAAATATGCTAATAGCAGTTTCACTACAATGACAGACATCTGAGTATTTTAAACATAATGTTGTAAGCTTAACCAACCCATACTTAAATACACAGTGATGAAGTACATAGCACTTGTGTTTACCTAAACCAGTCTTAATAATTCATATTCAAACTTTTCATACCCTAGTCAAATTCAGGAGTAAATTTATTCAAACAGCCCCTGCATTCCTTTGGTTCAAATATACAGGTAAATGTATCTTCCCCTATTCACCCACTTTGTGATAGCTCACATTCAAGCTGACCTATTGTGTACCTTATTTAAATAATCAGAAGTGACTTTTTTTTATAAATTCCAAAAAAATCCTATTACACTTCTATATAATTACATCTGCATTGTAGAAGCAGTGGCTACCTGTAAGCTAAGACCACTACTGTACGTGATTAATGCAATAACTGAAATGGGAAATTTCTTTTTCTACAAATTGATCTTGTAAAGGTTCTCACAAACTAACTATAATTAGCACTATGAAAGGCACATTACAATCAAGTTTTTCGTATCACTGCAGTGGAATTAAACAATGGGATTCACCACTTGACTTAAAAAGTCTTGTCAAGTTTAATAAGTGATGTTTAACACAAATTTGTAAAAGCTCAATTTTCCCCATACAATAATACATTCATCTGGTCATACAGTTTGGTATGAAGTGAATCCCTACTAACTCAATCAAACTCTTAATTGCTACTCCTGTAATTTTCCTTCTTATCCTTTCAAACCACCATTTAAATTTTCTCTGTGCAACGTACAACAGAAATATTAATCTAAGTAAAAGGCAAGTCATCTGAAGACTACACACGAGGCACTCGGCATACCCGCCATAACCTTTGCTTTGAATAGAAACAGCTCCCAAAGTACAGAATTCCAATTATAAAGTCGTAACCTTACCCAAACTGGTTTTAGATGGAATTTGTTTAATTTTTACCATAATTTGGTGTAGATTATCTGAATGATAAAGGTAAAAAGCATATACAGTCAGTTCTGCTATAAAGCGATAGTTGTGTTCTTGTAAAACCTCTCGTTGTAGAAATTCGCGCAATAGAAATAACAGGGCTTATGGAGAAAATAGGGTTAGGTGCAGATTACTCGAAATCGAAAAAAAATTTACTAGTTAGCCTTACACAAAGGATAGCACAGTGTAAATAAATGTTACATTCATATCTAATAATGAAATCATACAGTAAATGTAACACTTTACCTTGAAAAAATATGAATATAACTTGATGAGGGAGAAGGGTGATTTTGAGGTTGATAACATCGAACTTCTCTTCAAGTGTTATAGCCTTTCTTTAATGATCATCACCGGGAATGCGATCACCAGAACACTTCTTGGAGATATTCTTCTTTTCCATATTCACTGTTAATACCACAAAATTGGAGAAATAGTTAGCAAAAAGCACGTTACAGCGCGTTTTACAAATATCGTTCTACTATTCATAAATTGCGTTAGAGCCAATTCGCGGTGTCAAAACCCGAGTTATAGCAGAACTCACTGTATACTATATGTATTGTCATCAATAATAATAATACAACCCCTAATATTAGTAATTTTGACAAATACATTCTTTCAATATATTAATAACCGAAAAGCACTTGCTTGTATGATTATTACAACACCCACACTAACACAATGGCAACAGGTTGCTTGGTACTGTATAACAATTGGTAAGTGCTGCACCTAAATTATACTGATGCCCCAGCCACATCTCCCAGCCTCTGCCCAAGGTTCTGGGCTCTTTGTCCACTGTGTGGTGCATCACATCCTTGAAAAAAAAACATATGGTTCAAGCTATGAATGAAGAACTAACCAAATTAGTGAACAGCCATTTGATTTGGAAAGGCAAGATGATTGTTTCAATAGAGAAAATGGAAAATCAGGGGCAGGGTGAATTCATCAATTTTAAGCCGAGCGCCTCGTATGCAAACATGTGGAATCATCAAAATGTAATTATCGTTAGACATGTACTTCACAATTGTACACAATTTGCAAAAGTGCAGCGAATTCCATTGAAAACTGGATGTCAAGTTGATTTTTAAACTAGCTGATGAATGAAAGGATGAACAATCAATGGTTTGGCACTGCACTGGCAGATACACATTACCATTTGTAGCAAAAGGTGCAAAACTGGAAGATGAATTGATTTTAACAACTTATGATTGCAGACACACACACACTAACCATCTGACACGTGTGTGAAACATTATTAGACCACGGATGATAGATATTGGGACATGCATTTACTTTGGTATACAGTTTAACAATGTGTATTTATTTCGGCGTAATTACTATGATGTTCGGTTACCAAATGTAGTAGGATCAGTGTACCACAGAGCCACACATACCAACCCTCCCGGGACATCACGAGTTGCATGTAGCATTTCGGAGATCATCAGACCCCTCCTGGCAGATACTTTTTTGAGATACATGTCAAATTTGTGTAAATATTTCTAAGGAATTTTTCAACAAATATTTATGTCTTTAGTAAAAAATAATAGTACACACGTCAAAATGTTGATACTGTACTGCACTTTATGACAAGGTTTATCTGATACAATGAATATTCAGGTCTACACAGTTTTTTAACTTCTTACACTATCCATGTCCAAAACATCAGGACTTCCACTAACTAATCTAGTCATAATTACCCGCATCTTAATTCTTAAAAACTGATGCCTTAACCAATTCAACAGAGATCTTACAGATTAGCTATGTGTTCTGTCTTTGCCCCAGTTCACTTCCTTGTATGATAGAGACCAGGTTCAAAATGATCTCAAGGTATATTTCTGTATCTATAATCAAATCATATGATTAGGCTTTTCCTTCTATAAACATGCTATCACAACTATAACCTAATGAATATTAAAAATTATTCCTAGCATATAAATTTACCTTAACCAAAATACCAATCCCTTATCAAGGAGAGTTCATTATGACTAAATTTATAATGGTGCTGATACTGCACATTTATTTACACCTCTTTAACATGAACTGAATAATGAACTATCCCATGAAAACTAAGGTATTTGTATTTTACAAGGCTTTACAGTGATATACTTCATTGCACCACAGCTCCTTTACCAAACAATAGTATTTGGAAAAATTTAAAGATATAATATCAA